AAAAAGTTATATTTTATAATAATTTGTATATACTCATGTAAATGAAAAAAAATGTATACTTACTAAAATGAAAGTATTTTATCTGTATATATAATGTTATCTTTTATGAATTTAACTTTAATTGTACCTCCTTTTCCTATCATGATTTCTATTTTACGAAAATAAATATGGCTAATAAATGTACTGAAAAAATATCAGTAACAATGAGAGACAACATTTTTTTACGTTTTATACTTTTCTGTGTGTATATATTTAGTATATTTTACATAATATACAATTTATGTATAAATAGTTCATAAATAATAAAATAGCAAATATTATGTGATAAGGAACAATTTTTATGAGTGCTTTTCAATCATAAATAAATATTAAAATTACAATTGCTATATATAACAAATTTTTATGAATATCACATTAACTATATATGAGAATCCAATTTGTGGGGTGATTATATGCCAATAGTATGGGGCAGTGCAATAATAATGAAATCGTATTTTCATTAACATTATTTGATACTATAAACCATTGTGTAAGCCACTTTTGCATATTTTCTATCGACATATTCGCAGGATTAAGACCTCTAAATGAAAGTGCCTAAAAGAGTACACAAGTTACATATACCTAATAATTATAATACAATTTGTAAAAATAAAATTAGTATATATTACGAGTAAAAAAGGTATTAAAAATTGTAAATCGTATTTTTTATATACACACCCAACATATTGCATCTTCTGACAATATTGTAACTCCTCCTTCCCTTTGTATGGATTCATCCATTTGTTTTATAAACATACCTCTTTCAATCAACTTCTGTTTTCTGAAAGGTCTCCATGTGGGTATACCATGTATAGCTAATAATTCTTTCTAAAAGATGGACCAAAATATTTACATTGTTGTTTGAACAGTTGTACCATTAATAATATTTATGATTATATTAATGACTATATTTTTGTTTTTAAAATTTTATCATTGTGAACATGTACATACTATTCCAAAACAATTAAAGTATACACAAAAGGAATTACAATAATGTATTCAACATACTATATGCTTGCGTTTAAGATTATCTATTGCGTATGGTTGACCAGCAAATAATTCAGAACAGGTGATAATATCTTCCACGTGGGGATGTGTGCCGCTACCAAGGCATGCAATAATGCTGTTCCACTTTGCTTTCAATGATTTATTTTTAATATTGAGTAGTTCTGTTTGCATACATCTAAATAACGGTCTATTGTGTTTTAATCGTTTTTTGTGGTCCAATACCATAAAATCAAGCTTTTGTTGTGGAGTCCAATAATGAGAAGTTAGAAAATATCTCGGGAAATAATATATTAAAGGAAATAGAACATAATTTGTAAAGGGGACAGCAGATATTAATAAAACGGGGCACATTTTTATTAAGTCTCTGCGCATTGTATAAGTTAGTTGCAGTTCCTTTGTTGTCAGACTAGTACTTGGTTTCTGTATTGTGGTGACATATTTTATCACTTCCCCCATAAAGTCTTTGGTACCAGTAGCAAATACTTTATATATTTGCATAGTTTGTGGAAAATTCTTTTCCAATACACGATCATAATTTTTAATATAATTTATGTATCTATTAAACCAATATGTTTTCACATTGGACACTCTGCTTTTCTCTAATTTTTGTTTTGTTTCACTTTTATATTGTATACGAATGTATGTAGAAGAGAATGTAGACTTATTCCGATAAATAAATCTTTGGCACAATAATTTATACATTTTCACGTATCTATATTTACTATTTAACTGTGATTATATTTTGTTATTACTTAATTCTTTTCCAAATTAACATAAGATAACACTGTACTGAACACATTTATAAAGTAATGATAAATTATTTTAAAACAATATTATCATACAACTCCAAACATCCATTTGTGTGTTATCAATATTTTTCTTTTTGAGGTTAATAAGTAGTTCTGTTATGCAGTATATTAAATTAGTCCAAAAAGAAGTTTTATTTATGAAATTTTTATATCGCAAGTAAAACAATTTTTAATTTTTAAGAAATTTTTGATATAAATTGATAATATTAATAGTTAAATGTAAAATCACGCGAAAAATGTGTCATATTTATTTTCATCTATGATACATGTTTTGCTGACCAAATTCGTAAGAATTTTCCGATGAAAAGCTCTGTTCGAACTTGTGGAGCACTGAAACATTATACTTGCTAAATATGCGGGTATTTTCAAAGTACAAAACTAATTTCGTGTATTAACTTTATTTATAAATGTTGGTTAAGTTGTTCAAGTGATAATATTAAACTTCTGATTTAATTAGAATAATAAAGAATAGTAAATCGTATTTTTTTTATGGTCTCGAAACAAGATTTACAATAAATTAATTTATTCTTAGTAGTAGG